ATGCAGCCATAAAAGGCTTCTCAACAAATCCTAATGCTTTACATGTGTAAGCGCAAACGCCGTGCCTGCGTGCAGGAGGTGGGTGGAGGTGGACAGAGGGCACCATGGGGTTGTGTGCGAGAAATGGGGGCTCTTTGCAGCCCCTAGAGTGGAGGCAGGGGAGCCCATCCCATCCTAGAGTGGATGCAGGGGAGCCCATCCCATGCCCCTGTGCCTTGCAGGGATGCTCGCCAGCTGTCTGTAGTCCCCAGCTCTGGGGCCTGGGCTGTGCGCTGGGGTCCCTGCAGGTCCCCGCTGTGTCCCTGCTGTGTCCTTTCCCAGTTCACAACCCTGCTTCCCCTCTGCTGTTTTCCCCCTTGCTTTAATATACCTGGCACCTTGGGGAGAACATTCCTTTTAAGCCTTCCTGTTTTAATAACTTTGATTCTACGTCTTAATTAGTGACCTGGAAAAGACATCCATTGTTATGCGCCATATGGAGCCGCTACCTCGGGCTGCAGGGGGAGGAGGATTGGTTCCAGCATGGAGTCCCTGGGACCACGGTGGGAGCTGTGGGGTGGAAGCAGAGCTGGGGCCACGGTACGGTCAGCCCATGCTCTGTCTCTTGCTGGGAGTCACGGGCAGAGTGGCTGCATCCCTTTGCTAATGGGGATATTTGGGGTTTTGCACCCAAACTGCCCCCTCCCTGCCCTGCACAGCCCCATCGTTCCCACACCAGGTCATCTCCACCCGGGGGCCATGTGCCACCAGCTCTCTGCAGCATGGGTTGGCCGCATGCTGCTGGCGGGCAGGGTGCTGCCATCTGCGGCCGCTTTGATGCGGGGTTCCCTCTGTGCTCAGACAGAGCCGGCCCTGCCCGCGGGCCGTGGCTGCATGAAGCAAGGCTGATTGATGGCCTTGTTTTGTTCCTGCAAAGCCCGGCCCAAGCCGTGCACATCCACGGTCCCCCAGGAGCTGGGGAGGGATGGCGACGGCTGCCTGGGCTGTGGGGTGTGGGCTGGGGGTGTCGGGGGGGGGGGGGGGTGCTGCCCCCCAGCTGCTGGGGCGGTGCTGGGAGCACTCTGTGCCTCAGTTTCCCCATCCTTACTGAGCCTGTGGGTGAAACCATCCCGCTCCTCTCAGGTATGCAGAGCATCCCCAGAGCTAAAGCAGACACTGGGAGCACGGGAGCCCCATTTGGGATAATGCTCATTAGCAGTCCAGCAAGATGACCTCCAAAAAATGGAGCTGAGCTCCAGCTGATGAGTCACGGCCGTGCCTGCATGATGCGCTCCTTGCAAGCAAGGTTTGCACCATGGAGCTAACAGGCTTTTCTGGGAAGCACTGGGGCTTTGAGCTTCCTAATTATGTTCAAAGGCTGCTGGCAGCACAGCTCAGACGGGGATTATGCCTGCTAGAAGCACAGCACCAGGCCTTGTTCAGAGGCCTGAAAGTGCTAATTGACTTTAGGTCTCACGTCGCTGTTGAGAGCCCGCTCCATGCAGCCCAGTCCCTCCTCCTGCTCCCGCTCTGAACCCGCTGCATGTGGTTTGAATTTCTTCTGCAGAGAAAAACCTCCTTTCTCCTTGCCCTGGTGTCATCTTACCCTGGAATTTGGGGGAAATAGAGAGGAGCTTAAATGTTCACAGAGGGACTGCTTCTCCTCTCCAGGAAACAAAGAGAGGGGTGAAAGTCATCCCACGGGCACCCCCTGCTGATGCCCTGTCCCATCCCATGTTCCTTGGCACAGGGATGTTGGCACCTTCAAGCGGTTCTGCCCATGCCAGCAGGCACTGGGTGGCCAAGCAGAGCACACAGAGGAGAATGCTGGCTGTGCAGCACCACTGGCTCAGCCACAGGGATCCCCTCCTTCAGGATGACAGCAGCCTGCGATGCTGTGGCTGCTGCAGGGAATTGCCCATGGCTCCTTTCTGCCTTCTCCCACTGGATCCTATGCAAAAGGTGGCGTACGTGACATGGCACAGCACGGCACAGAACAGTGAGCCAGCCACCCTGGCTGCCATTCCCAGCACGGAGGGCTCATGGGCTGCAGACGATTGGGAAATCAGTTTCCTCTTCTCCCCGTTACGACATTGCAGTGGGCGCATCCATCGGGAGCTGTGAGGCAGCAGGAAACTATGAAGGTCAGGGAGGCTGAGGTTTGTGTGACGGAGGTGAGCCCTGCCCGAGGCACCCCTCCACCTGCTCATGCACCACTGCCACACGCACCCCGCTCCTTGGTCACAGAGAGGGGAAAAGGGCTGCACAAAGCTCCTCTTCATTCCAGTGCCACAGGCAGGAGGGCTGCTGCCGCAGATCCGGACAGGCATATTTTATGAATGTTCCCAACATTTAAACTTACCCCGTTCCTATTCCTGTCTTCTATTTTAAAGCTGCACAGTCTTCTGAAAGTTGATCACCTCCGTTGCTCCAGCACCAGCACCATTGTGACGCGCTTGCCTTGCAGCACTAATGAGCCGGCCCTGCGATTCTCATCACCTCATTAAGGATTTGGCTGCCAGTTCCAGCTGTGCTGCCCGCTGCCTCCCACTTTGTTTGCAGGCTGCAGGACTGGTGTTAGGGGAGCCACTTGCATTTGGCCAGTGGTTTTCAGCACCTAAGAGCCACAGCACGAGCCAGATGCTAGGGCAGGAATGAGCAGGCCAGGCAGTGGCAGCAGGGCAACATGGTTTCTGCAAATGCAGCTTCAATTTAGCAGCAATGAGACATGGGCATGGATGGGCACAGCTGTGGTGAGGGTGGCCTCAGGGCAGGGACACGTGGAGGGGTGTATCCTGCTGGAGGAGCTGCTTGGTCCAACGGGTCTCAGTCCCATGACCACAGCTCCCCAGGACATCCCCAGTCAACGACCATGAGTGGGGGATGCAGGAGGTGGCTCCAGCAGTACGTACCCCCTCCTGCTCGTCCCATTATTGAGGTCTAGCACCAAGCCCATGGGGAAGATCCACCAGCCCCTGCTGGTGCCTGCGTGGAGCTGGAAGCCCTTTTCATAGGAGGAAGGGAAAATAAATGAAGTTGTAATGCAGATGTCAAGGTCTCATGCAGACCCTGCCGGTAGAAGGAGACTCCAGGTTGGTACAAAAGTGGGAGAGAGTCGCAGCCCTCAGCCCGATGAAATCTGTCCAACAACATGGAGCCAGAAAGTCACTGCATGCGTAGGGCTGGATTCACCCTGCTCTCCCAGTGCAGCCCAAATACCAGTGTTCCCCAGAGGCACCAAGGCAAAACCATGTGAAGACAAGCAGATGGATGGATTTGAGTGTATGGAGATGAGTGGAAGGATGGATAACAGGTTGGTGAACAGGGATGGAACAAGTTGGATGGAAAGCTTGGTACAAGTCGTGCATGTGTGACCGCTTCCTCTTGTCTCCCCCTGCCCTGGAGCTGGCAGTTTACAGAGCTCAGACACCTGCAGCAGAACTGCAGCCAGCCCAGTGAGCAGCTCTGCACAAGTGGGGACAGGATTTAAGGTCAGGTTCTTCAAGACAAGAGATGCAAACTCTGCCAAGGAAAGGGCATTCAGCTGACACAACTCTTGGTGCTCCCCTCGTCCACTGAGAGAAGGTCTGTGCCTGGGAGGGGCATGTGGAGCTGCACCTTGCTGCTGCTGCCTGTCAGGATGAGCCATTGGACAGCATGGCAGAACTTCCCACTGCTATGAATCATGAGCCTGGCAATGGAAAATCTCCAGCTCCAGTATCTCCTGCTTCTCTCATCAAACCCCAATCAGATGAAGCAGACATTGCTCAAACTGCCCTTCGGAGGGGATCGGCCTGCCCATATGTTGGACAGCCCCGAGCCCACAGCAGCTGCCCACTCAGGGTACCCATAACCAGAGGATGGTGCAGAGCTTGAGTTGGCACCTTTGAGCTCAGCTTCTCAGAGCTTGGGGCAGGGCTCCCACAGCCTTTCCTGACTCTTAGGGGCATCGAGGCCTCACAGAATTCATCGTCTTTCGACATTCCCTCTTTTTTTCTTACACATGAGCAAAGCAGCCGTTGGCTGGAGCTGAGTCCCGGATGCCCATGATGAAAGCCTGGCTCAGTGGAAACCAGTGGTCACTTTCCTGCAGATTCCCACCTGGCCTGCACGGCTCTGTCAGATTTCATGCCACGAAAGTCTTCCGCGGAGCAGGACCATTCGCAAGAGGTGCAACATTTCCACAGCCACCAGGGAGATGATTCACAGGAATGGGCAGTGCGGAGCAGCAGGATTGGCTGCGGTCAGTTGTTCAGCTTCAGTGATTTCTTGAGGGGGAAATGGAAAGAGTGGACAGAGCAAGTTAATTAATAGATGCATCATGAAGTCAATATGAATCAGAGTATTCCCAAGGAGCTGGAGATCAGATTGGGAAAGCAGCAAATGATGCCTTTCCCTGGCACAGGGCTCCTTTATCCAGATGCTGCTCCAGCCCCCTGAGTCGAGGACTTGCTGATAACACCGGCTGCAGGCCAGGCCACTGCATGGCTGGGAAACTCAGTGGCAATTTTAACAACAGCTCAGGTGATATAAACAGAGAAAGGAGACGAAGGAAGCGTAGGAATAACCCTGACAATGGCTCATTGCAGTGTCCTTCAGGTAACGAGGGAAGTGCTCAATTCAGGGGTGCACGTGAACACAGCTGCAGGTTCTTTAGATTTTTATTAACTGGGCAGCCAATGTCGCAACGCTTCTGGTGAGAAAGAGCCCGGGCTTAGGGAGCAGGAGCCGGGCAGCAGGCAGGAACCGGCACACGGACACCAGCGAGCCCTGCCACAGCCACGGGCCGCCCCCGAGAGGGAGCGGCGATGCAGCCCTACACGCAGAGCTCGCCCCGTGCACGCAGAAGCACCGCACTTCTCACGGAAATGCCCGCTCTCCCAGCCCCAGCGGCGGCCATTTCACTTCAGCCCCCATCCCCCCTCCCAACACCTCCGCCGGGCGCTGCACAGCAGACGGGAGCCCCCTAGTGAGGGCCGGCCCGGCTCAGCCCAGCTCGGGGACGCGGCTCCGGCCCGGCTCGGCTGTGCGAAGGGGAGGGGAGGGCCCGGTCTGGCCGCGCCTGCTCGGTGCGGAGCGGCCATGGCGGGGTTGGAGCTGCTGTACTGCTCGGCTCAGGCCGGCATCTCCTGCCCGCAGGATGCGTTGGTTTGCGGGATCCACTGGGAGCTGATCCAGCACGGCTACCGCTGCCTCGGCGCCGGAGAGCAGGTACGGGCCGGGCAGCACCGCCGCTAGGCCCCGCTAGGCCGCGCCGATCCTCGGCCTTTCCTAGTGCCGCTCGCCGCCTCCGCGCGGCCCAACCCGGCAGGGACGTGTGGGCACTGCGGGTTGTGCCGGTACCGGCGGGACCTGGAGGTGGTGCTGCTGCGGTGTGTCGTTGGGGGTTCCCGGAAGTGTTGTGCTTTGGGGAGGCTGTTGCTGCGGGGATACCGGTGCTGAGGTGGGGATCGGGAGCCTGGAGCGGTGCTGGGAGATGCCTGCCGGGGGCTGTGGTGGGCTGCAGGATGCTGTTTGGGCAGAAAAGCTCCCCGCGACCAGACGGCTCCCCATGCTTGGAAGCTTTGGGGTGACAGGCAGCAGGGAGCAGCATCTCCTGGTTTGGGTCTTGGTTGCCTTTTACTCAGCAGGGGATGGCTGTGGCCCCTCCTGTTCTAGCTGCTAGCGGGCCTTACTGTCCTGTCTGCCTTGCTGTAGCCAGGTCCTGATGAAAGGAAGTCAGAGCTGCTGCCCGCTGGCTGGGAAGCCAACAAGGAGGTGTATACACTGCGCTACAAGTCTACAGACGATGCCCAGGAACTGCTGCTGAAAGCCATTGCGGTGGAAGACAGCATGATCCTTAATGTCATGGTGAGCACCTGAACTGATTGCTGCAGAAATTGGAGTCCTTTCAGATGCAGTGTCTGCTACTGTCCAAAATGTGTGAAAAACAGTAGAGCCAATTTCTTAAATGTTTTGCTGCTATTTGTTCTGCCTTACACCATCATCTGTCCCTGAGAGATGTGGCCCAGCTGGGAACTAGTCAAACACAGCCACATCTGGCCATGGATATAGTCTTCCTTGCACTCTGGCCCAGTGTCCCTTTATGTGCCACTTTTCCAGCTGAGGGTGTATTTTCACATCACTTCCCAACAAGCATATGGCTAGGACGTTTTTGCTCCATTTCACTTCTTCCTGACTCTGGCTGTCATGGGATTTTGGTCTTTCACCTTCACAGCCTGGGCTAGGGGAAACGAGAAGGGAGAGTTTTGCTGCATGTTGTGGTTGTTTTTTTTTGCTGCTGGGGATTTGGACACTGCACAGAGACATGGACAAGAAGCATGCAAGCTTGTTCTTCATGTCCTGATCTCCCTACCAGTGGCTCTGCTTGCTCCCTCCCTCAGTCCTAGCTCTGCGTGGCTGCTAACACCATGCTTCTCCTGTCTTTACTAGGATCGTCATTCTCAGAAGGTGGCAGACGTGACCTTGGCAGTGGCTGACTACATCAACCCAGAGCACCTGAATGATTTCCACAAGTAATCTCAGTTCTCTGACATTTTCTGCAGGAGAAAAAGTCTCACCAGCATGGGGAGGGGGGCGTATGGGATCAGAGATGAGGTTAGGAGGAGCCTGGAGGACTCCTCTCTCCAGCACAAATCCAGGGTGCCAGCTGAGTACATGTTTTGTGCCAGAGATGCCAAAAGAATGTACATCCTCTCACTACCCCATCCAGCACCTTTGTGCCTGAGTGCCATAGTCTGTCTGTCCCACCAGCTTGCCTCTCATCCCTGCAGAGTCTACAAGAACATGGAGGAGTTGAGGACAAGGATTGCTTCAGGTATCATCAGTCCCCTGGGGGTCCCCACAGAAAAGGTCAAGAAGGAGTCCCAGGCAGAGAAGAAAGATCCTGTCTCCCCCCAGGATTATAACCCCCTTGGGATCCCACCCCGGCACCCTGCAGGCACAAGAGCACCATCATGGTGAGTGAGCAGCGGGTGTCCACTGAAGGTCCTGGCACAAACTTTATCCCTGGTCCCATCTTGCACAGATGGAATGGGGAGTGAAGGGGATCGAAATCCTCCCCACCTGTTCTCAGGCTCACTGGCTGCCAGCTTTCATTGATTTAGGCTGTTTGCTGAGGGATGGGATGATGAGTTCAGGAGCTAGTTTTGCCCTACTTTGGAAAGATGTGGGGCAGAAGGAGGGAAGCCCTGCTCTGTACTGGTTGAGGGACCATCAGGGCTTGGGGGCTGGTGGAGCAGAAACAGCAGGGGCAAGGACAGTGCTGTTGTATGTGGCAGGTTCTTCCCTCTGTTCCCCCACAAGCCTTTGGCTGGAAGTCAGAGACACTGTGGTGGCTCTGCTGTGGCTACTGCCTTACATGTCACCTCGTGTTTCTTTAGCCCCACTGTTGTCTGCTTGAGCTTAGGTTGCAAGATACTCCTTCCAGGAGTGCAAGGACAGTCGTTGTGTTGTTGGCTGGAAACTGCATGAAATCAGCCCTGCAGTGAAAGTCTTGTTCACTGTGTGCTGTTTCAGGCCCTCTCCTTTGAACCCCTTCGCTGTTGGTGGGCAGGACCTGGACCCTTTGGGGTGAGTATGGCTAAGGGAGGTCATGCTTTGCATGTCCTTGGAGCATCCCCAGCTCTGCCCTTCACTGAGAGACCTTCCCTGAAACAGCTGTCGTCGGTCTGGCTCAGGCATTGAGCAAAGTGTGTCTGAGTGCGGGTGGCAGTGGAACAGTTCCTCATTACAAATTGCAAAGGAGCAATTGACAGTTGCTAAACCTCAATATGGTTCTAATATCGTAATAAGATCCCGTCGCTTGCTTAGATGATAGGTTGCAATCTGCGTCTGTTTAATAATCAGCCTGTATTCATTTAACATGCACTAATTCCTTCAGTAAATCAAAGCTGAATACATCGTTAAGTGAATGTAAGTCTCTAATTTAAAATGGTACCAGCTGCTGCATTTACAGCCCAGCAGTCTGGAGAGGGAGAGGCTTAAAGTTGAGTCCACAGATGCCCGAGTCCTGATTGTGAGCCTCCAGGCTTTTTGGGGCACTCGAGCAGGGATGCTGGAGAAGGCCTGAGTGGAAGCCAGGCAGTTTGGGGGACTGCTCTTCCCAAATGCATGTCTGGATTTTTTGGTTTTGGTTGGGCAAGAAGGACCTGTCATCTGCCATTCCAGATAAAAGCACATCTTCAGACACAAAACAGTCCTTGGAGTTGTTGCAAAGCGCCTTGCAGCTCAGGGGAGTCCTCTTTAGAACAGCTCTCCTGTGGGGATCGCATTTTTTCCCTCTTGCAAGACTTGATTCTCTGTGAGTTTGGCCAGCTAGAAATGTCCTGCCCTGCGGGAAGGAGAAGGCTGGGTGATTGGAAAGAAACCTGATAGCATGAGGAAAAGGGGTTCAGTTGTGGGGGGGACCCTGTTTCTCCCACTGCCTCCAGCTCTTCATTGGCAGTTTCTCTGCAGATGACACAGAGATGATTGTAAGTGATAGCAGATTTGTGTGCTGACACCTGCCAGCACTGGGGCTGGAGACCCAGACTTCCAGGCATATGCTCATGGGGCCTGGCTGTCCTGGGGCGCCGTGGGCAGCCAGCCTGGAGTAATGGAACTCATTAGTGCAGTTGTTAATGACTTGTATGATGGCAGCGGTGTCCAGAGACTCCAGCTGAGTTTGCAGAAAGCCGACTATGAGGAAATGGCACTTGCAGCATGGAGCAGCTCTGAGGAGCCACCACGGTCAGCAGATGACTTCCAGGCAGTGCTTTGGAAAGGTTTGCAGGGTCTGCAGGCTCTTACAACACTGTGCTCCCATAGGGCAGCAGGGATGGGGCTACGAGTGGCAGTGATGACCAGCAGGTCCAATGCACGGTCAGCAGCCCGCTGGGGACTTAGCAGCCACGGTTTGTGTTCTGCCTGGATCCTTGCAGGAACTTGAGGGAAGAAGGAAGCTGCTGCTGTTGCTTCCTTCTGCATATCCCCAGCTAGAATAAGAGGTTGCAGACATGGTGGTGCCTTGGATCTGGATGTTTGCTCCTGCCCTGCATTAGGTGTGTGTGCTGCAGCCATAAGACTCCCATCTCAGTGTAATGTTAAGCTGCAGTTTACACCCTGCGCTGAGCACGTGTTGTGCTGCAGCATGGGGAAGGTGCAGGAGGAGCACGTTGCTCTTCTGTGCCAATCTCATCTCATTTGCTGCCTTTCCTCTCCCCAGAGGTCGGAGTGGTGGAATGATCGTTGATCCTCTCCGGTCTGGATTCCCACAGCCTGGCATTGACCCATCAGCAGGTCTCCCCGGCCGCCTTCCCCCAGGAGCAGTTCCACCAGGAGCCAGATTTGACCCCTTTGGCCCCTTAGGGGCTGGTAGGGCTGGGTAGGTGTTTTGGCCATGCCTGGGCAGCCACTGCAGCAAGGACCACAGCATGCTGCCAGTCTGCCTCTGATCTGCTGCTCCTTCCAGGGTTGTGCTCTCGTTCTGGGTTTGACTTTGTCCTAAATTCCTTTCTAGGCCAGATCCCGACCACCTCCCACCTCCAGGCTATGATGACATGTTCATGTGAGGAGTCACTGAGTGGTTTCTCAGCTAGCTGCAGCCAGAGCAGTTTCCTGGAGCGAGGAGCACTTTCCGCTCTTCATTCCCTTCTTTGGTGGACTTTGATCTTTTCAACAGTGATTTTCTTCTCCCTGCTCAGGGCTGTGCTCCTGTGTTTCAGACTGGCTATAAAGGTTTCCATATGCACAGAACAAAAGAGGAAGCAGTAGGTTCATTTCTTTCTCTGCTCCTCCAAGGGTAGCTGGCCATGGGTACGCAGCAGACATGGGCCAGCCTTGTGCCAGAGCAGTGTCAGGAGCAGCGTGGTGTGCTGAGAGCAGCCCTGGGCTTTGAGGTTTCTCCTCTCCTTCTCCAGGGTGGCATAGCTTTTGCTGCTGGGATTATGCATACAGTCAGTGGTAAGGAGGGAGCTGGCTTCTTGCCACTCCCGTGCTGGGGAGCTGCAATAGCGTCGCTGAAAGCTTCAGCTGGAGAAGGCTTCCCATGCATGGTGGTTTCTCTCTTGCTCTTTATCCAAAGAGTGCTGATCAGTAATGGAGGGCTAAAGCCCATCTCACAGGGTCTTTGTGGGCAGACCCCCAGTAGAGGCTCAGGTGGGCTTCTGCATGGGCATGCACACTGAATGTGAAGGGCTCCAACAGCAAAGCCTTGAACATGCATGAAAAGAGACATGCAGTGAATTCCTGGCATTATCTGTCCCCCTGTAGCCATGCTGTCCTTCATTCCTGGGGATGTGTGCCAAACCCACAGGCAGTGTGGAGAGCTGCCTGTTGGGCACCGTGTTGGTTGGGGTGGAACAGGAGGCTTGGGTGCCTACCTGAACTCGGGGTCCAGCACAGTCTCTCTGTGCCTGGTGGAGCTGAAGGATTTAGGGCTTTGCTTTGCAGCAGGTTTATAGGAACATGTTTCACTGCTGTCAGTCCTATGGCATGAGACATGAGACCTGTGTGGCTCTGCCCAGCTGGACTCTGTGTTGCCATCACCAAACAGCTTGTGGAGGAAGGACAAGACCTGCATGAGTCATAGGGTTCTCAGCTCTTTCTGGAACCCCCTCCCTTTCCTACAGCTTCCCCTGTGTCAGATAATTTTGGGGCTGGAGCCCCCCAGGAGTTCAATACTGTATTTTCTTCTCATGGTTTGATTTCTTGGAAAGACGTTCATGAGTTTGAAATAAAAATCTGACAACAGTGTTGTGTTGGCAGTTGTTGGGGGTGACCCCCCCACCCCAGTTGGCCTCCTCATCTCCCCCCACAAGAAGAGGAGCCCCAAAGCTGCACTTGGGAGCTCTGTTCTGTCTGTGCTTGCCCTGTCTGGGGTGGTGGGTTCGAGCTGGGAGCCTGCTTTGTTCTTTCCCTTCTTTCCTAGCAGCAGTGCTTTTCTGAGATGATGAGACTGTATTAAGAAAATTAAATGGAGAACGGCCCAGCCCTTGTTTGGCTGTGCTTCTGGTGGTAATTGGCTCTCCAGGGCACTGAACACCGTTGTTACACTGCATGCAGCTGCATAGGCATAAATAAAGAAGGGGAAGTGCTCCCCTCTCTCCCTTTTCCCCTAAGGCTTTTCCTTTTAAACCCCTTTTGCCTACAAACACGGCTAATAACAGCTGAGTTGCAGTGTGTGGAACCTCAGACTGTGTGCATGTGGGAGGGGAAGGACTGGGCATAGAAATTTGGCTGAACTGGAGCAAGGTGAGGCTCTTGCTGTGTCCCTGCTGTTCTCCCAGCTCCTGGGCAGCCCCGACCTTGCTGTGTGAGGTTGAGATGCACGGTGCTGCAGGGAGAGGAAGCGGTTCTGCCTTATCAGAGAGGCTCTCTGCGGGAGACAGCTGCTTTCTGCTGCCTGCATTAATCATGTGCTGCAACCTTTCAGGAGGGAGAAACACAGCCTGCTTTGATGGGGCTAATTAAAACGATCCAGCGCCAGGAGAGGCTGTGTCGGGTCTTGATAAACAATCTTTTGTCTGCAGCTCTTAACCCCAGTGGGTTTGCAGTGCCTTGCAGCTTGGGGGAGCAGGTGGGAGAGGAGGGGATTGAAAAGAGGAAGAGCACCCTGCGTGGAGCTGGGGTGGCTGTGGGCTCGTGGCTGAGCCTTGGGGCTGCTGTGGTCTCTGCTGTCTGTGCTCAGAGAGCAGAGGTGCGGGAAGATGTGGATCCTGCACCAAGCATGGCCAGCAATACCAGCACTAACATGAGTGACTGAAGCTGTTAGCATGCAAGGGAGCACAGCGGTTGGTGCATCTTGAGCTCATTTTATGGGGAGTTGTAAAGAGTGGTTGGGACTGGAGTGTGTGATCCTGGCACAGGCACAGCCCTCGCTCCTCCCGCAGTGCCAAGGAGGTGCTTCCACATCACAGTTGAAGAGAGGCACTGGATTATTGGCAATGGCTCGACGTCCCTGGAGAGTCCTTCAGGCCATCTGCCAGCCCGCCCAGCCAACAGCACCTGCCTCTCATGCTCCCGATGGCAGAGCCCTCGTTCTGCTAATTACCCTGTGGACGACGCTCCGAGCCAGGATCCTGCACAGCCCGTGGATGGTGCAAGGGAAGAACCATGGATATTGCACAGATGGGAAAACAAAGCAGCCTCTGTTGTAGAGGAGTGAGGGAGGTGTATGGGGCCGTTCCCTCCCTCATAGAGACACTCCAGGACCCTGAAGATGGGTGCTTAAGAGCTCTGCGCTGAGCCAGCTTCTCCATTGGAAGCTGGAGATGTGCAGAAATGCAAGGTGCTCTCCAATGGGACGGGTTTCACTGTGCCTCCAGGGCCACAGGGACTTTTCTAGGGGTATCCCAAAGCTGCCCCAACCCACCCATTAGCAGCTGCAGAGCCCAGGGTGTGACACTGTGGGGCTGAGGCCTCATCCTGCCTACACTGCCCTGCCCCAGCCCACCTTGCTGGGGCAGATTTGTCTCACCACCTGGTCATATTTTGGGTTGCTTCCTAAATAAATCATTGCTTTGGCTTGATGTTTTCAGCCCGCTGCACTGCTCTCCTCTGGTCCCACTGCTGCTCCTGTGCAAAATCATTCTCCAGTCCTACAGGTCTCAGTGGGGAGCCTCTTTAATGGCATTCCTTCCTCAACACACTTCATTCACCTTAAATATTTATATTTCAGTCCAGAGGATTCTCCCCCACTCCTCCAGGCCCTCCTTCAGGGACAGCACAGCAATCTGCTGGCACAGCAATAACAGCCTCCTTCCATTAACACCCCTCCAACAGCCCCACACTAACACAAAGGAGAATTTCTTGTGCCCATATAATGCAGGTGTTCAGCAGATGCAGCCTCCCAGCAGCCTGTGTGAGGTCATTTGAGGATTCCAGGACCCAATACTAAACACAGAGCAAGGCAGGTGATACAGGGATGAGCAGAGGGACGTGTGACCCTTCACAGCACTGCTCGGAATGGACACTGTTGTGCAGAATGAGGATGGTGGCACGGGCTGCAGGCTGTCCCCAGCCATGGGAGGGGTGGGAACACCGAAGGATGCTATGGGAGCCCTGGAACAAGATCTGGCCCCAGCAACTGTACCACATGTAAACAACCTTCCCCATGTGTTGGGCTGTCTGGAGAGATTTGTCTCCGCACATTTGAAGCAAGAAATTTATGGGACGGATTAAAAACTGGTGGCAGTTTGTGACAAATACCAGCTTTCGCGGGGCTGCGTTTTCCTATGGGACAATTCCTTGCCTTTCTCAGCATCCTGCGCAGACCGATTTTTTCTCTCCACAGAACGTTGTGCTTTAATGATGCTTCATGTTTAATTCCCGAGATGCAATGTTACCTTCGAGCTGCAGAGAATGGCTCTTGTGAGCAACACAAAGGCACCCCAGTGGGGCAGAGCTGCTTCTCTAAAACAGGAAAAGAAGGAGCACGCTGTGCACGGCAAGTTATCCTCTCTCCTCCAGACAGAGCACCCTGGTTTCTGAGGCCGTTGTGGGGCTGCTGGTGGGATGCTAGGCACGGGGGGGTGTCCCAGCCTTCATCCCGCTCTCGTGGGATGTGAAGGCTGCAGGTCAGGAGGAGGTGGCCCCGTGGATGGCGGTCACTTTGAGGTCCCCTTCTCTTCTGCTATGCCGCAGAGTTTTACAAGAAACTATTGCTACGAAAGATTGCTGATGGCAGAAAATCAGATGCTACATCCCAAAGAGGAGCTCGGCCTCGCGTCCAGCCCGGCACAGGGCACAGAAATCCCACGGGCGTCTCACAATGCCGTCACCTCGTTGCTGGTGGAAGGCGGTCCCGGTGCTGCGGGATGGGACGCCGACCGGGAGAGGCGGGGAAGGTGTCCGATGGCGAAGCCTCCCCGATGGCATCGGTGTTGCGGTGTGGCGAGCGTGCGGGGCTACGATCCGGACCCCTCGGGGTGCCGCTGGGGCGGGGGGCTCAGCTGGCTCTCCAGCAGCGCCCGGGACCCCTCGGCCGACATCCGCCGCAGCCGCAGCCGCACGGAGCCGTAGTTGCTCCCGGCACGGCGGGCGGCGCGGGCCCGGCGGCGGGCGGCGGCGGCGGCCAGCAGGAGGGCGGCGAGCAGCAGCCCCCCCAGGGCCAGCAGGGCCAGCCCGGCCACCGTGCAGCGGTCGAGGCGGGCGCGGAGCCGCGCCGCCCTCTCTTCCAGTCGCTCCATCTGCCGCGCCGGTACGCTCGGGTCGGGACGCGCCGCCCGCGGCACAGCCCCCGCCAGGACCACCAGCGCTGCCCCGCTTAGCGCGCAGCCCAGCGCCAGCGCCAGCCCCGGGCCCGGAGCCGGGCCGAGCCCCCCCCGGGCCGCCGCCGTCCGCCGCCGCTTCGCCCGGGCTCCGCAGCTCCGCCGCCCGCGGGGACGCCATGGAGCCGCCGCCCTGCGAGGAGAGAGGTGAGCGGCGGAGGGGCTGCATCCCCCGCACCGCCTGCCCCAGCCGGGATGCACCCCCTCCTGTCACCCCCAAACCCGGCCTCCGGAGCAAGCTGCTCCCGCCCGATCCCCCGAACCCCAAGGACCCGCGTCTCCAAACCGGGCTGCTCCCTCCCTGCCCCCATCAGGCCGAACCTCCCCAGCCCCCGGGACCCACATCCCGAACCGGGCTTTATCCCGCGTTCCCCCGCCGGGTTGTTCCCCCCCCCCCACTCCCTCGTTCCTTCGCTCCCTCCCTCCCAACCTACCCAGGGAACCCTTGACACCCCCTGGGCTGCCTTCCTGGATTCGGGCTGTCCACCCATCTCCACATCCCGGACCTGCCGTCCCCTCCTTTCCCCCGGTTCCCTTCCCGCACCGAGCCGCCTCTCCCCCCGCTCCCCGCACCTAGCTGCGCTCCCTCTTCCTCGGTCCCAGCCGCCTCCCCGGTCCCGCCCCGCCGCTGCCCGCACCGAGCTGCCCCCCCTCGGCCGCCTACCCCCGCCGGCTCCCCGGTGCCGGTGCAGCCGCGGCGGAGGGTGGGGAGGGCGGTGGGACCCCGCGGTGCTCCCGGCGATGCACGCACACACGTGCACACGTAGCGGCGGCTGCCCCGGGGGTGCACACGTGCACACACGTATGCATACACACACACACACACACACACACGGTTGCACACCGGCACCGCCCGTGCAGCGCATCACCTGCAGAGGAGGGATCCCGAGGTGGGGAGTTTGCAGATGGAGGGTGCTAAGCAACACTGCAAAAAGCACGGAATGTGCCCCAGGGGATGTCCATATAGGGTGCCGGCTATGCACCCCCAGCCAGCCCCACTGGGGCCATAGGACAACACCAGGCTGCGGTCTGCAGCACAGAGATCCCCAGCACCGCATTGTTTATTTCCCTTTTCCCACTGCCACCGGCTGCACGCGCTCTGCTTTTCTTTGACCTGAAACTGGACCCAGGCCCGAGCCCCAGCAGTGACCTGCTGGCAGGAACGTGCTTTGAGCCGTGTTGTTAATGAGACGTGTGCTATTCCTGCCTTTGGAGCGGTGCCTGGAGATGGTGGTGCGGATGTAAATCCCGACTGATAGCGGGTGGGCTGCTGAAAGCTGCCGGGAAGATCTGTCCGTCACACTGCCATTCCCTTCAGCACGTTCCCATGCCTCAAACACCTTCACAAGCTCACATATGACAGCATGAGATGATGCTCAGATGCTGCTGCCGGCACCAGGTGGGCTCACATGCTCATTCCCTACACCCTGAGCCCCCCATGAAACAAATCCCGCAGCCACTCTTGGCTCCATGCAACCCACAGCACTGGGGCAATGTCCTTCACGGTGACACCAACAGCAGCTTTCTACCACCATGACATCAACAGGGACTTTCTGTGAAGTCTCTGTGAAATTCAGTCAAAACCACAAAGGTTCTAAGAGGGTGCATGGGGGTGCAGACATAAAGGGGTGCACGTGGATTTCTGTGCAGCTGAAGGCTGTTGCACATCCAGGTGCTGGTGAGGGCTGCTCGGCTCTGGCCCTGCTGCTCAGCGGGGCAGTGACAGCTGACAACTTCATCCTTCCCTCAACACCTTCTGCATTAAACAAATGGTGGTTAAAATTAGCCTCTGGATCATTTTGTAGCCGTTTCCTTCCATGTTTTATTTTTATTTTCTTCCACGTGCCCTTAGGAAGGCTTTCTGCCTGGATTAATTCGTTTCATTTGGCTGATGCTGACCTGCTCCTCCCAAAGCGGGTCCGGGGGTCACCCGCCTCCTTTGCTGCCCTGTGGATGCACACACCACTCTATTATGTTTTGTTCACAGTGAGGGATGTGTGTGCTGTGTGCCTGTGACCGCCCTCCCGGCTCCTCTCCTGCGCTGTGTCAGAAGGCAGAGTCTTCCCAGCACAGCATCCCTGGGGATGCATCCAGAACTGGGCTGAGAAAAGAACGGGATTAAAAATAAATGTAAGTGCATCCTGACACGTTAACCACATTTAGAGAGGTTTCAGTGCCAACCCACTCGGCGCTCAGATACAAGTAGGTCACAGGACGCAGATTGTCCCAAATCAGCAGGAAAGGATGGATGTGGAGCAGGCGGGCAGGAGGGAGAGGGGATGGGAGGAGAGCTCTGCGCTCTGCTGCCACTGCCACTCGTATTTCCTTGGAAGGAACAGAAATGATGATGGTTTGCTCCTGAGCTCTGCGTTTTGGGGCAACCGGCTCCCATAGCGATGAGGCACCGGAATGCGCATGGTCTGTGTGCAGAGCTGCTGTGATCCCATGGTTAGATGGGGCAGCAGCCATCAGGAGGACATGACAGATGGATGAGGGAGATGGGACGTGAGAGGGGGTCCTGCACCTTGCTGTGCTGCTCCGCTGCATTCACAGGATGGGTGCTGAGGGACTGGGATGTGCAGCCCCAAACCTACAGCCCCAAATCCTGCACTGGGCTGATAGGATTGGGATGTGCTGACCCAAACCTGCAGCCCCAAATCCTGCACTGGGCTGATGGGATTGGGATGTGCTGACCCAAACCTGCAGCCCCAAATCCTGCACTGGGCTGATGGGATTGGGATGTGCTGACCCAAACCTGCAGCCCCAAATCCTGCACTGGGCTGGCAGCTGCCCCAAATCTACAGCCCTAAATCCTGCCAACCTGGGAGCTGCCTCAAACCCCATCCCCAGATCCTGCCCCGGATTGGTGAGGCTGCAGCATCCCCGGGGAAAAGAGAGGAGGGATGGAGACCACCGCTATCAGCCCAGGAGCACAGCGAGGAGAGAGACAGCCAAGGTCAGACAGCCCCGCCAAGACGCAGGACGAAACCTGCGGGAGAGCAGGAAATAAATCGGAAGGAGAGGAGAGGAAGAGGGAGAGGGGCAGGAGGGTGGAGGAGGGATGAGGGCACCGAAGGCGGCAGCGGGCGGGCGGGAGAGCTGTGGCTGCGGGGCCGGGCTGTGCGCGGGAGGGAGAGCGGGCGGAGCCGCCACCACAGCGCCGCCAAGGCGCCGCGCCCTCAGCCCTGCTCAGCCTCTCCTCCAGCCGTGGTAACGCAGCACCACGGTGATGCCCCGCAGCCCCTCGCTGCCACCTCAGGATTTCCCCCCCAGGGCCACATAAAGACCCCGTCCCCTGATGGCAGGGCTGGGCGACGCCGTCCCCTCAGGGCCCCGTGATGCCCTCGTGCCCTCAAGGCTGACAGAGTCCCATGGAGCCCCATCCCCTCAGGGCCCCGCCGTGCTCTCCATCCCCTCTTGGCCCCGTGAAGCTCCCACCCCCTCAGGGCTGACAAAGCCCCCCATCCCCTCAGGGCCCCGCAGTGCTTTGCATCCCCTCAGGACCCCACAAAGCCCCATCCCTCAGGAGCCTCACAAAGTCCCCCATCCCTTCACGGCCCCATGAAGCCCCCATCCCCTCAGGGCTGACAAACCCACCCCCACCTCATGGGGGGTGCTCTGTCTCACCTCTCATGGTCCCATAAAGCCCCCATCCCCTCATGCCCCCACCTCCCATGGCACTCACAATCCCACCCCATGCCCCCTTTGCCATCCCAACCCCGTGTTCCCCATCCCCATGACATCTCTCCTTGTACCCTCAGGTGCTGTCAGCTCCAACCCACAGCTCCGGCTCTCTCTGAAGCCCCAGCAGCCATTCTGCTCAGGACCTTCGCAGCCCAAGGGAGGAAGGCAAAACTCAGGCAGAGGCACTGCAGGAATCCCAACAGACCCACACACCATGTTCTACATGCATTTGCTCGTGAACAGGCGTGGGCCGCTGGCCAAGATCTGGCTCGCTGCCCACTGGGAGAAGAAGCTCACCAAGGCTCACATCTTCGAGTGCAATTTAGAGACTACCATTAAAAGGATCGTTTCGCCAAAGGTATGTTATTAAAGCGGGAGAGCATCTCCTGGCGAGCCCTGAGGTGTGAGTGCTGCAGGGAATGGGGCCATTGCTGCTGTAAGCACGTAGTAAGAAGCATTTGTGGCTGCTTCAAAACCAGCGTGAGGCAAATCCCTACTCTGATTTTATTCAGTTCTGACTCAGATATAAGTCTCAATCCCATTAAATGATAGTAATAGAAATATCTTGCTTGTTATTTTACTCTTGAAGGTCTGTGGAATGTACTCGTCTATGGAATAAGAACATTTTTATTGTAGCATTTAAACTGGGGCCGTGAAGATGACCAGAGGGCTGGAGCACCTCTGCTATGAGGAGATGAGGGAGATGGGGGTTTTCAGCCTGGCTCTGAGGAGTCCTCACTGCAGCCTTCCAGTACTTGGAAGGAGCTTACAAATGAAAGGGGGATCAACTGATAGTGATAGGAGAAGGGGGAATGGCTTGAAACTAAGAGAGGGGAGATTTAGGCTGGATATCTGGAAGAATTTTTTTGCTCAGAGGGCAGTGAGGTGCTGGCACAACTGCCCAGAGGAGCTGTGGGAGCCTCATTCCTGGAGGCACTCAAGGCCAGGCTGGATGGGGCCCTGGGTGTCAGTGTTGTGCCACTGGGGTCTCCTCAGAGATTTTGAGCTGCAGGTACACAACACAGCCTGGGAACTGACAGGATCTGAGGAAATTGTCTCAAACAAACAAACAAACAAACAAAACCAAATTCAGCCACTACACCAAAATCAAGGGAGAAAGAAAGCTACTGTAAAACTGTACAGAGACATTTGAGGACTATTTTTTGCTGATGTTACAGTAAGTAACTTTTGACATATAATAACTATCCTTGCACTTTCAGTGGACTCCTTCCAGACCCATCGTTATAAGCAGATAAGTACATAAATAAGCTTAATTGGAGACTCTTATAAGAGATTCTGCATGAATCCTTTGTGTATCACAGAGAAGTTGGGACTCAAGCACAGATGCAGGCAGTATCCATGACTCAGTCCTTGGCCTCTCAGTTGCAATTGCATCCAAGGGAACAGTGAGAACATTTTGCACTGTTATTAATTGATGGTGAAGGAGATCTGAGGCTTTCTGCTGGTGCAAGCAGGATTTTTTTTCCCTATGAAAATACCTGTTTGATAGTGTAAATTTTATCATCTGTCTTCCATGGGTTATGATTAATCGAGCATAATTGGTTTGGGACTTAGGCTTCAGCATGGCGATGCTTTGGAGCAGAAGCAATTAGAAACTCCTAGCTCTGAATATTGCTTTGTCTCTGATCCTCTGTCACAGGACAAAGCTCTCTGCAGGTGTGTTTTTACCAGAACTCTGTTACTACTGTGCAGTATTTCCATTTTAAATTGTTTTTTTCTTTGTTGTTTTTTGCTTTGCTATTAACTGCTGAACAACCTTTTAAACTCATCCAAGTTTACAATAGCTCTGCGCACCTCTGGGCACTTACTGCTGGGAGTGGTGCGGATCTACCACAGGAAAACAAAATACCTCCTGGCAGACTGCAGTGAAGCTCTGACAAAAATGAAGACAGCCTTTCGTCCAGGTACGTGCAGGACTCTGCACCTTCCCACCTGCATTGCTTTCTGCTTTGTTAACTGTGGTTGTTTCAGTCACGTACAGGTCACTGGTCTCAGAGGACACTGAATGTATTGGTGCATGCTGCTGATGGTTAATCTGGCTTAACTGAATGCAATTTCAACTCTTTGACTCCTTTAAAAGAAGCAGTATCTTAAATGGTCCTCCAAGAAGCAGCTTGAATTCAGCTTCCATTGCTAGATAATTAATTGTCACCGCTGATGACTCCAACAACAGGTCTAAGAACCTGTTAGTGCCAGATCTCACTGTGTTTTGAGCTCTAGCCACAAAGCTAGCAAGAAGGGAACTGAGATGATGGAATCCTTTCCAGAGAGGCTGTGTGTTTGCCATGTTAAGGTGACAAATGGGGAGGCACTGTTGTCTAAAAAAAAGACTTAAAATACCAACATCCATTGCCAGCCTCACTGTCCTTTGTGACCTAGATTGGTTGCAGAATATTGAACACCCACTCTGCGTGGTTTTCAAGGACGTGGCTGTGATCAGTTAATATCTGTGAACGTGGAAACCACTGGAAGAATCACTTGCAATAAGTATGCAGTGCTGTTTTTAGTGGGTGCTGTAGCAGCTTGGAGGGGACTGTGCAGCACATGAACAGAAGGCAGTGGTCACAGCTGCTGCAAGGGAAACTCCAACTAGCTGCAGGAGGGGAACAGTTCACACTGGCAGCAGTAAAATGCTGAAACAGGTTGTCCAGGGATTCTGTGGACTCTCCATCATCAGAAATAGTCAAAAGTGATCTAGCTTAAGAATTAATTCTGTTTTGAGCCAAAGCTTGGATTAGGTGACCTTCAGAAATCCCTTCTAACCTGAGTTGTTCCAGCATTCCCTGGCTGCTAGGTATTTGCAGCCAGTTGTTATGATTATTTGACGCTGGAGAATAGTGTCATGTAGACCCTGGATAGAAAAACAAAGCACAGTCACCCACCTGAAGTCATAGTGACTTCACATAGCTGTGCATAAGCACAGTGCATTCACAGTTTTTCAAGAGCTGTACCAGTGTCCACCAGCAGCATCCTCTTCCCTGTCTGTCTGTAAAATATGGCTCCTAATTATATGCAAATTAAGTATTTTCATTCCACTTTGGAGTCTCGTTGACAAATTGCCCACGCTTTTTGTTCTCTGTGATGGCAACAGACCTTTCTGACAGGTTTACAGTGGGAGGACATTACTTCTATGTGATGGCTGTTTATGTCGTTTCCTTTAGGACTTGTTGACCTCCCAGAAGAGAGCTGTGAGGCTGCTTATCAGTCCATTACATTGCCTGAAGAATTTCATGATTTTGAAACAACGCTACCTGATCTAAAGTAAATTCTCCCTCCTTTTTATTCATTATTTCACTGTTTTCAGATGTAAAAGACATCCTTACAGTTATCTGACCAAGACTTGCATGGAATTGTTTTAATTTGACAACTGATCTCTTCTGAATCCCGAGTTGAACTTTACAAGGCTGCAGTCACAACACTGTGCTTTTGCAGAGCTCCTGCAAGTCCATTTAACCACCAAACTTGAACAATAAAATACATCAAGCCCACACTTCCAGATTTTCTCACTTACAATTGTCTGAGTGAACCCTGCAAAGAGATTCCTGTCCTTGGAGAAGCTGTAAAAGCCTGAATGTTGTTGTAACACGTGGAGCCTGTGGTTTGTAGGCTCACAGTGTTGTGCTGTTCTGCTGTGTAAATGCTTTTCATTTCTGCTCCCTTGCTCTTTGGGCCCCGGCTGTTTTATCAGCTCTAGGAAGCTTTGCTTCCAATGAAAAGCCAAAGTGTTTCTTTGGCTTTTTGGAATGGATCAGCACTAATGTAGAAAAAGTGATAAAAGCAGAAGGCTAAGATGTGTTTCCATGCCCCAAAAGAGCCAGGATAGTGGATTTCAACAGAGATTTTCTCTGCACCTCACCATAAATGCAGCTTGAAGGCATCTGTAAGTCTTTAGTATTTTCTAAGTGCAGCTGGGATGTAATACTAGTTATTCCATTTATTCAAGTACCCCAATGTGCCACGTCTTTCTGCCTTTTCTGTCTACCCAAAGAATCCCTATGGTTTGGTGTAAAGATGACAGTGGGACATTAATTCGATGCCTTCTATGTGACAAGTGCCTGGTAGTGAGCAGGGCCTGAGCGTGACCAAACTCACACGAGCCCAGATTTGTGGCAGAAGAATAGAGAACTAGGAAATAGAGAGGAGCACGGGTGCTTCCCTTGTCCTGCAGACATGCCCACTGCTCCTTGAACAGATTGCTTTCTGGCTTCACGTCTGGATTGTTTGGTCACAGAGTGCCAGGTTGGGGATTGCTCTGAGACCATTCAGCTGAATGCTTTCCCCTGATTCACGGACCTCTTCCTACGCAGTGTTTGGTTACAACCATTCCAGATTCAGCCTCCACTGTACAACCTACATTGGAGACTGCACAGGAGGCCTGGCTAGCAAAGAAAGCAGCTGCCTGCTTGCTTGGAGGTAGCCCTCATAACCCACAGCCAGCATCTGTTTTCCATATGCTCGTTTTGAGCTTCTAGAGGAAACTCAAAGCAGTGGTTTTTGTGCATCAAATCTTAAATAGCTTGAATGCTGATGGCTTTGGGAGCCAGTTCTCTCTCCACAGAAATGAGGATCAGGTGGGATGCTTTCAATGCCATAGGAAGCAGTTATCTTCTGGGGTTTTTCAGCAGAATGTCAGGTTTGCAGACTGGTTAGCAACACGTTTTCACAGTCAAGTGAAATGGAGAATGAGTTTCAGTTCATCCTGTATTTTGTATAATGTTTCTTTCATCAGTGCCATTGATGTTGCTGAGCATTTTACCTTGAATCAGAGCAGAGCTGAAGACATCACACTTAAAGAGGATTATGAAAGCAATGTACTTCTCTGTGATAGGAGCTTTGGTGAGAGAAGTTGAGAAATTAGAAATATTCCATAAGGAAAAGTATGTTTTATGCAAAACGTTGTACAGTGAGTAATTTATGTGAAAAACCCATCCCTAAAAGAGCATTTGTTTATGTTTGTGCTGACTGCCCTACCGTGGTCTCACACTGAAATTTCCCTGTAAGCACTCTAATTAAGTCATAGAATGTGATCTTGGAAACAGGGAATCAAACCCAACGTTTGGCAGTAGATGAAATTGACTTTTGTCCATTCCATGTGAGGCACGGGACGTCCTACAACCTTTGAAAGCTGTTTGAAAAACTCAGGAGGTGGAGAAATGCACGTTTCCCATAGAGGCGTACAGGTGGAGCCTGACACTGCCTGTGTTTGTCCAGATGAGGAATCAGATGCGCTGAGGAAACAGAGCTGCTTCGATGTGAGCCTCCTGAGGAGCAGCTGCAGCCTCGTGGCCGATCGCAGCTCTGCAAGCGTGAGTGGAGACCAGGCTGCTGAGCGTGAGGGCTGGCGCCGCTGGGAGCAGGACTGCTTCGGGGATGAGGAGGCTGGAGCAGACATGATTGGTAGAGAAACAGAATCGCTTTCTTTCAAAATGTTTTTTATTACCGCAGGGGAACAAATGAAACGGCTTGAAAGTCGTCGTTTGCAAGCAGCAATTCGTTCTTCTGTTTTTATGCTGTGTTTTTTTGCAGCTTGTCACTGTGTCTGTGATCACGTAGATGTCACTAAGTACAAACTAAAGATTTTAGGGCTTTTTTGGAGTTAAATGCGTTTGATTTATATTTATTATTGAGTAATTTGATGTATATTTATTATAAGTAACATTAGGCTACGTCAGGCTACTGCATGACAGCTACTGCTTAGAATGATTCAACTGTGTGCTTTCTGTTTAAGAAATCCTACTGAGGGATGAACAAAATAGCCTAACTAATGGCATTCTTGATATGGAAGAAGAACTTCCTTTGTCACACGACCTGCAGGAGAGCAGCACAGCAGGTGAGTTGGCAGCACCTCCTCCTCACGCCTCACATGAACTCTGCTCCTGTACCCGTGCCTCAGTTACTCCCATTCAGCTCTGTGTGCATGGATCAACATCCCGAGCCCTTTTCCTTTGTTAGTTTCGTTTCCTTCTTTCCTGGTGTGTGTCATTCACCATTTTAGGTATAATTTACTTGGACATAGGAATTCCAGACACACAACTTGACAGCGCTTAGAAACACAGGTGCATGATATCCTGAGATCCACACTGCAGCTTAGGCAGTAAGGTCACTTCTGTAGGGAAAAGGAAACAGAGCGGAGTAACTTTGAATGTTACCTGCCAATAGGACTTCACATTTCAGCCACAAGTGACTTTCAGTCATTCCCACAGGTGTTCTAAGCCTTGTTTCTGTCTGGTATCACTCTGCTGATATTCAGTTTGTTTCACTGCCTGCCCTAACAGGGTCTTGTGTCAGCAGAATGTAAGCAGCAACAGTGCAGATGCAGTGGTTCAGGTCACTGTGATTACAGACTGAATCAGTTTGCAAATTCTGAGCTTTCCTTTGCTGTCTTGAATGTTGTGAGGTGGAGAATTCATTCCATCCTGACAAGGTTTTGATCTGGATCTTTTGCTGGGTGTTCTTATAGCCAAGTCCAAGCATGCAGACACTGCAGTGAAGACAGAAGGTCATCTCATGAACGAAACAATGCTTTTGCCTAAAGAAGAAGAAGGGTTTGTGCTTGAGCCAGTTGATGATACAGGTCAGAACTCCATCAGTTTCTTGCTGGCTGTTTGCATTGCTGTATTTGGTTTTCTCCTTGTTAGTGTAAATATTTGCAAAACATTATCTTCACTTTTGTTTGCTCCTGCTGTCAAGAGTTCTGTTCTATGCTCATTCTCATACAAAACCAGGTTGATGGGTATTGTCTGATCTGCCCAGTTCTCTGCTTACAGCTCCTTCCCCATACCAAACCAAATGCTGCTGCTCTGCAGTTCTGCTGGCAGTGCTACCAGAAGTTCAGCTGAGCTTTTGTTGCCAGTGACACCTCCACGATCCCATGTGTGTAAAACCACAACCTTACACTCTGAGGCTTTGGGATCTCTTGTCTTTATTAAGATTAAAAAAGAAAAATGTCTCTTCATCTGTGTGTAAATCTAGGTCTCAGCCATTCTGATGGTGGCTGCTAGCACACGAACGAGTTCATACTGATGATATTTAGAATACTGGCATTTTCCAGCCTGCCAAGACAAAGTTGAGGAAGCTACAGTTGTACAACCAATCAGCAGCTCTGTTCTGTGTTTACAATCCACATCTCAGTCTAACTGCCAAAGTATTAAACTGACAAATACAGATATTAATTATAAGCTAATGAAGCCTGTTGAGTACATTGGGAGTTCTTGGAACAATTAATTCCTGGTGGATTAAAGATAGCCTGCTCAGTCCCGTTCACGTATCATGTGTTCTCATTAAGTCACTGTGTTCCTGATTCCTCAGTGCAGTATTCATGTCTCCTGTAATTAAACACCTCTGGGTTTCCTGTACAAGAATACAGAGAGGAAGCTTTACAGACACTTCTGGGGGAACAGGCCATCCTCTTCAGCTCTGTGAAGTCAGGAGGTCTCCAGCTGTCCATTTACTCACACTGGTTCCCTTCACACTTAAGTTTTCTGTGGATGGCACCTTATTTGTGTATGCCTGCTCTGTAATGGCTGTTGAAAAACAGGCCTCCATCAGAAATGAGAGGAGCTGATCCTTGTCAGCTTTGCATATTGAAATTCCCAACAGTGAACATGAGGCTGAAGGGGACGATTAGCTGAGGGTCCTCAGCTGTCCCCATCTCTGCTAGTCAGCCCTGCAGGTAGGTGTGCCTGCAACAGAGGCCAAGGATCACAGGTTGCTAAGGATGGGAGGAACCTCTTGTGGCCATCTGTGTTCTGAGGTCAATGCTTTTTTATTTTTTGAACGCTTGATCTCTTTAGATTTCAACCAGAGGAAAAGCAATAAAAGGAAGAGGAAGTTGCTTGTGGATGCAGACAAGGAGCTCAGCTGCCATGCTATATACCACCAGCTTAACAACAGCCTGGGCACCCTTGTTGCATTAGACCTCGCACCTCCAACTAAACAAACAATGATGTGGAAAGAATCAGGAGGAGTGGAAACACTCCTGTCCCAGCCTGCACAGCTTTTGTTTCATGCTGAGCTGCAAATGGTAAAGGTTTCTTCCTTGTTGGTTTGTGTGCCTGTGTGTAGGTGATGGGACTGTTGCACATCCAGGATGGAACTGCCAGGGGTTTGCACAGCACTGCTGGAAGTATTGTGTCACAGCTCTGTTCCATTGGACACCTAATGATTATTTGCATGCTCATCACTAATTGCTTCAGCAGAAAGACCATCTGTGCAGCTCCTGGCTTCAATCTCCAGTGCTCCAGCAAGTTAAAAATGATCAGGAGATCATCTTGCCTTTCAGGTGCTCCACGGGTTCTGGTTGCTGTGTCCCATGGGTGAGCAGAGCAGGGCAGGGCAGGGCAGAACACCCCTTGCATGCTTGTAGACCTTAATGCTCTTTTTGTGCAAGGGAGAGAGATTTGCTCCATGGAAATGTATGTGTCAAATCCTTCCATGCCCTGTGTGCTATCTGACAGGTCTTTTGAAGAAGTTGCACGTTTAGGAATGATGATGAAATGAAGAAAGATCGACTGGTGTGCAGGGAGGTGGAGAAAGGTGCAGTGCTGGCTCTGTACAGCAGCCTGGTGCTAATTGCACTGCGTTCTCTCTGTTGGATCTGCAGGCAAACAGCTCAGCAGGTTCCATGGGGCAGAACAGCTTCACCTCTTGGAGTCCAGATGCACAATTAGAGCTCGTTCCTTAGCTGTTCCTATGACATTTCTTCATAGAATTTGCTGCCAAAGGGCCATTCCTTTTTTAAAGGTGCAGATTTGAAATGACTCAATGCAAATCTCTAAATTCTGGGGTGAGGTGATGAACTTGCAACTCATCTTCATACCTCTGCTTTGATGCTTGCAAATAATCTAACACTGTATTCTGACAGTAAACAAAAAATAATTGCTTTCAGTTCTTTGCAAAATGCTTCAAGAGAGGTAGATTTGAAATGAGAAGAAATGTAACACAGATGGAGACAGAAAAAGCAAAGGAGGAGCAAGATGCCACAGGTAATGTTTTAATTCTGCTGTGGCAGAATTAGCTGTTAGCAAATACTCTATTTTATGTGATGTTTCAGACGTGCACAGCGTGCAGCATTCTACAAATCAAAGGTCAAAACATTTCAACCATCAACAAAACTGGCTGTTTTAATTACAAAAATACTTGTTTGGCTTTTTTTAAGGGCAGGTGAGCAGTCGTTTCATCTTGAGCCTTGTGTTTCTTTGTCAATACAGAGGTGCTGATAACAGATGAGTCGAGTTACCTGCAGGAGTTGGACTGCTCCGAGGCTGAGGGAAAAACTGGCAATGATTTGTTTGCACTGGCAGCATGGAATAGCAGCAATGGAACTGTGAATGGCTTTGGTGAAACCCTGGTGAGTGGTTTCCTTCTGTTCTGCAGACCCAGATGTACTTCCTGGCTCCATTTTGTGTTGGGGTTCCTTTTCAAACAGGTGAAGAAATTGTTAACGTAGGTTTGCAAAGCCTCTCACTTCAGGAAAGTTTATTCAGGAGCATTTTGGCAGGCTCTCACAATGAGGGAGCTGTCTGTTAAAATGTCTGTTAATTGGTATAGATTACAGTGTGATCACGAAGTATGGCTGGAACCTGGATATAAACCATAGCCTGTTTGTAAAGAAAAGATGCTTTTTCATGTCTAAAGATGGTGATGCTTATCTTTGGTGTCAAAAGTTGAGAAAACGCTCGAGCAATAACAAATTATGTAGTTGTGCCATCTTTAATGTGAAAGGGGGGACTTAGGAGTGTATGGAAGACCTTGAAGTTGACAGAGAATGACAAAACTGGACTTGATGGCAGGAGAACATTCAAGGCTTGTGCCTAAACGAGGGTAGATCCCACGTGAGAAGAGGTGTGGTAGAAACAGCAGCTGTTAAACTGTTCTGGAAAGTATTTGTAACAGTGAACTGAGCAGAATTGTTGTCACACAGCACAATGATGCCTAAATTGCAGCACCAGCTGATGCACCTCCCTGTTCTGACAGCAGGATGAAGCTGCTTTCTCTGAGAGCTCCGTGCTGGTGAATAATTCAACGGGCCGAGAAGCTCCAGTGCAGCAAGCTGAGATAACACACGTGTGTATGCTTACAGCTGGCAGTTCTCACACTGCAGAACAGCATCATTTCACAGGAATATTTCTTAAAAATAGTTACAATTCCATGAATTTACAGTGGGTTTTGGTGTGCTACCAATTTTTGACACGTTTGCCTTCTAACTTTCCGTTGTATTTCCCATCAAGGAGCGAGAAATGGAAAATAAAGACAACGAAGAGGTTCAGTGGAGCAAAAGAACTCTTCAGGTGTTAAAAACCTTACAGGTAACACTGCTGGATTTTGAAACTAGAAGCCCAAACCAGGTATTGATTTCTATTGGGCTGTTTCAGAAAACCTCCTGCTTCCACTGCGTAGCATCACTGTGTGTCATATGCAGAGTGTAACTGCATTTTGTGGGGTGTTGGTGGAGGAAGCCAGGATTCTCAGTGCCTGACATCACGTTCACTCTCCCACAGCTGCTGGAATTGCTGTGGAATTGGACTGGAAATGCTCTGCACTTTTGTTTGCAGTGCTTGCTGTAGCACTGATATTTTGTTCTCTCCAGCATCCCCACAAAGCCCAACTTCCAAGCACTTGCAGGCTTGCAGGATCTCTGCCATGCATCGCAGGGTGCCTTCATTTGACTGCTCAGCTGCTGGAGCTCTTCCTGAGATGAAGGCTATGGAAAAGCGTGGTGGTTGTGCTGCAGATGGTCGCCCCTTCTCTAAAAGGTTTTAATGCCCCAGGGCTTTCAAGATGCTTCAACACGAGCAAGGCAGGCAGGGCTTATCCTGCCTTCCTTGCAGAAAGAACTTCGGGGCTGGTGGAGCTGTGTGATGCCACGTGCTGTGCTCCCACCAGCAGGAACGTGGCAGGCAGCCTGGGCTGTCCCAGCACTCAGTGTCCAAGCCCTCACTGGGTCACCTTGTTGCTGAGCTTCTGCCAAAGCAAAGCTCACCAAACCCTGCTTCCAAGCCTGGCTTTTCCCCACTGCCTGAGTTTGGCTCCGCAGCCTTCTTGGTTGTTTAATGATGTGAGCATCTTTAAAAGGTTCTGTGCAACACCCATAAAGAACTCCGTATGTATATGTGCAGCCATTAAAAACCAAGCAACAATAGGGGTGAGTTAGCTGGAACTGGAAATGCCTGTGGTGTGGCTGGTGTTCTGCATCCCAAGAACAGGGCATGCAGTGACTTTGATTGCTTTGCATCACGAAAACCATTACAGGTAGGCTTCCTCGTGGGCTCCAGTGCTGTTTCACTGAGTTCAGTGGAGCTGTGGGCATGTGTAGATGTTAGTAACATACGTAGGTGCCAGCAGTACTACAGCAATCGAATGTGAAGAGCCACTGTGTGAGAGTAAATGCCTGCTAAGGCCCTGTTCAAGGCCTTCAGGCAGGAAATAGTGGTTCTGAGCAGCACTGTTCAATCCAGACTTACTGAGCTCTGCTTTTCCATGACCCGACTGCTTCTCTTTTTCTCTCCTGCAGCACCTGAACAAATCTGGAGTGAATTCCTTCAGCTTCCGGGAGATCTGTCAGAAGAATAACCGGAAAGAAGTGGCAGTGAAGTTTTACATCTTCCTTGTCCTGCAGAAGCAGATGGTCGTTGAGTTGGTTCAGCGCGCTCCCTTTGCAGACATCACAGCCGCCGCCGGCCGAATGTTCAGCGCTCACTGAAATCCCCCAGCAGCCAGATAAGCTCAGCCAAACGCCGTTCTGTTCTCTTTTCCCTGCACAGAAATGGAACTCTCATCAAACCACGGCGGACTGAGCAGAGTTCTTTCATCCCTGCGCCCTCTCAGAACCGCACGGCCACCAATTGGTGCCGCTGTGTGGCTGCGGTGTTGCTGAGCAAGCTGTTCACTGCTGTGCTCAGTTTCAATGTAGGTATGTTTATAAAAAGCTGTTACTCACCCTGTTGATAATAGGCAGCTCAAATTCATGCTCCCCCTCAGACATTTGCAGCATGAGGGGCTTGATGAAAGCTCTTCTTTCTTAGAGTCCAGTGTTGGAAATTAGGTTATTTTCGGCTTGTGTGTTAATTAGGTATTGTGGTGAGAGAAGGGAAGTCCTTTAAGCTGTCTTTGAATTCATTCAAAATTATTTATTTCAAAGAATGTTCAATGCTTGTCGTGTTCAGCTCTAACAAGCAACTGCCTGCAGCACTGCTGTTGTGTGTTGAGATGGAAACTTCTGCTGTCCTTGAGGTCAGGAGGAAATCTGCCTTCCAGGAACCCCAGCGCTGTTCCATTTCGTGGGGCATTTATACAAAGACTAACAGCTCCCCTTAAGCATAGGCCAACATAAAAACGGTTGTTAGAAATGTCAGTGATCCTTTGTACATTTATCTGATTTATTTAAGGCCTCTACTGCCATTCTGTTGGTAATTCCCACGTGCTGAAAGCGTGGCTGTGTGCATTTGGTGCTCCAGGACATCCCAGTGCTCTGGCTGTGCTGACACCTCTTTCTATGGAATCAATAAAAGTCTGACCATGATGTTTGCTGTGTATTTGTTCTGAAGGATCAAAACTGGTGCCGCCTCACTTCGGTCCAGGCTCATCTTGGTGTTTGCTGTGATCTTTACATGTATGAGGGTGGATGATGCTGTCATCCTGACTCTCCAGGCCTTCCTGTTGGTTACACCCCTGTGTGCCCAGCCTTGCTAATGTGGTGCTCGACACCACAAGGGGTCAGGAGGTAAACAGCACAGAGGACAGGCCTGGGAGACGAGGAGAAGCCGTTCCTTCCCCCGAAGGCACCTGAAATGAATGTGTGTTGCAGCAGAGCTGCTGCCTGCACCACGTCTGCCGCTGCCATACCAGGGAGAGGAGCTCTGGCAGCAGCTGACACGAGGACAATTTGCTCTTTCAGAGAGGGAGGCTTCACGTTGGGTTCACCAGGAACTGGAGACACAAAAGGAGGCTGGAGGAGAGCAGAAGACAAGCGGGAATAAACCAGAGGCAGGTTGGCAGGATATGCATACACTGAAAGCAGTCTGTATGGCAGAGTAAATGAGGTGCAAACCTTGCTGTAAATAGCAGAGGAAGAAAGACGAGCACATCTACAAAACAGGTTTGTCAGAATTCCAAAATAACTGGCTGGGGAGTCACACACGGAGCTGCAGAGGAAGCCCAGCATGCTGGCACTGCTTTTACATGTGCATGGGCTGAAACGTGGGCTTGGTTTTCCTTCTCGGTCAGGTGTGCTCTGAGGTTGGGCTGTGATTTGGATCCAGGAACACGTCCTGCTCTGACCTCGCCAGCACACGAACCGTTTCCTCCCTTAAATCCATATGCACATGCAGACGTGTAGGATCCAACGCACGCAGCTGTCAGGTCGGTTCCTGCACTGCAACCTCGCTGCGCTGCCCAGGGCTCAGCGGAACGGAGCTGCAGCACCGGGCTGCCCCCACCGGCTGGCTGCAGAGATCGATGCGAGCCCTGCTGGGGAGGGCAGAGCTCAGCCTCCCACCCCAGGTGCAGCTCCTTCCATCGTTACGTTCAGCCGGCTGCGAATGGAAGTGTGCGGGCAGCACCGTGAGTAACCGCGGGACGGAATTCACGTTTCCCGTTGCACTGACAGCACCCGCCCGGACCCCAGCCCGGCTCGCCCCGCTGCCGCAGCCCCGCTCTGCTGATCCTCCGCTCCAGCTGCCATGAATCGAAGCTTTTTTGCTATACGGACGTGCGCCGTTAGCGGGGCTGGGGGGGAGCACGGCGGGTGCGGAGGGGTCTGGAAGCCCGACTTTTTATTTTTCCTGCTTTTTTGGGGGGAGTTACCATAGAAACCAGGGAAACCCCGCGGGGGGGCAGCCGGGCTGCCGTCGCTTTAAGAGCGCAGAGGAGCGAGAGGCAAATTACGCAGCTGCGACGCTCATCCCTCCCTCCCTCTCTCCTGCCTCCATCCCTCCCTGCCGGCTCCATCCCTCCCTCCCTCCCTCCCTCCGCCGCCGCACCCATGGAGGCCGGCGCAGGTGATGGAGGCCGCGGGGTGGTGGTGGGGGTCCCGGCCCTGCTCCGTGCTCCCCCCCGCTTACCGCCCGCTCTCTCCTTTCCCCTCCAGGTCGCTGAGCCCGGCGCTGCCGCCCCCGAGAGCCGCGGGCCCCGCGCAGGTGAGCAGGGAGGGGGCACCGGGGTCCGATCTGGGGGGGTTTGAGGACGGGGGGAGCTGCGTGTGCCGGGGGGGTCGAAGGGCAGAGAGGGGGTGCTCGGGGAGGGCAGAGCACCAGGCCTGCAGTACAGCCCATGGCACACACCGGACACACGTCATGCGTGCTCCAGCCCTGCACTGCATGCAGCAGCCCCGCATTGCACACGCCTGCACTGTGCCCACAGAGCAGCAACGCAGGCACTGATGCCTTATTGCATGCACTGGGTCCCTGCAGTGGGAATCGCTTGAATTGTGGTCGCTGGCCTTGCAGTGCACCCCCACCTCATGTAGCAGACCCACCTCGATGCATTGTACCCATATGACGTGCGTCACACCCATATGGCATGCACCAGAACCCCACTGCATGCACCAAACCCACCCTCCATGCACCAAAACCCCATCAGCCCCATCCTCTGTGCTCCAACCCCACACCACATGCACTGGACACACCCTCCTTGCATGCCCCAAACCCTCCTTGCATGCCCCAGACCCGCACCTGCTCCATGCAGAGCCCAGTTGTGCCTCCTGGCACTATGGGGCACTGCAGGAGCTGGAGCTGCTGTGCGATTGAGATTTGATTACTTAATGGCTTAAAGCTCCATCTCCAAAGGGATAGAAAGCACATGAGCAGATTGATGAGCTGTGCGCTCCTTTCCTCTTCTCCCTGCAAGGTCAGTGCTGCCTGCTTGTCACATCCAAACCCACTGCCATGCATTGGGTGTGCCTGTAAAACAGCAGTGCTCCCACTTTGCTCTGGGTAACGCATGGGCTGTGTTGTGACCTTGTGCAGGGAAGCAAAGATGACATTGCAGGGCTTTGGGGGTCTCTGCTTGGGGTCAGGAAAGGCGATGCTTGCAGATGTGTGCCCACAGTGGGGAGCGTTGCAGCAGGACGGGACAGGAGATGTGGCACAGTGCTAAATGGGACGGTGCAGCAGCACAGGGACCCTATTTGGGGTGGGTGGGGGTGAGGGCAGCCCTACCGCTGCCACGCTGCGGCTGCGTGTGTGCTGGGAGGGAGGGGTGGCTGTTATGCTGGAGGATGAATCCATCGTCTGCATCTCTGCCTTCCTGCCCTGAAGGAGAGCTTTCCTCTCCCTTCCGTGTGGCTGCAAGGGGTGGTGGAAGCACTGGGCACCCCCAGCTGTGACCATCAGGTCTGGGTCACAGTGCTGCTCTTGCTGTGACTGCAGCAGGGTTTGTCACGATGCTCTCCTCTGGGGAGGGATGAGCTGCAGAGCGTGGCATCCAATGGTCTCTATTTTCCTGCAAACTCCGGGTGTCAGCTCAGTGTTTTGTTACAAAACAAGGGAGAATGAAAGGAAAAAACCCTGTGTGAGAGAACAGCTCGGAGCAGGATTGATTTTTCTGGTGGTGCTGAGTAAACGCTCTGCGCGTTGTGTCTCTGCTCATGCCCCGAGTGCTCTGCTCTGATGTGACCTCAAGCAGTGTCTGTCTGTCTGTCTGTCTGTCTGCAGACCGAGGCTGTGCGTCCATCCACCTCTGCGTTGGCCCCACATCCATCCAGCTACATCCCAGTCCCTTCCATCCCTGCCCTGATCCTGGCACTGTTGCTGTTTTCTGGGCTGCAGCGTTCCATCCCAAATCGAGTCTGTGGCTGTTTGCTGTTGTTTTGCACTTCCTTTATTTTTAGCGTGAAGGGAAAGCGAAGTTGGCACAAAAAAGAAAGGCAGTGAGGGCTCCTCCAAGGCGGGTTTGTTCCTTGTGGAAGTGGAGCTGTGATCTGCCTCCCCTTTTTGTTCTCTGCATTCGTTGAGGCTGTCTGTGGGGGGCTGACTTGGCCCTGAGGGTTACTCTGGGCCAGTGCTGGGGCTCCTCGGGGCCACTGTGGCACAGCATTCCTGTGCAGAACGTGGCAAAGGAAATGAGGAGGTGTGGGATTTAGGTGGCTTTGAATGGGGTCTGGTGAGGTGTGCCAGCCCCAGAGCATCCCATTGCTGGAGCACTGAGGGGCTGGTGCTGCTCATGGGATGGATCCAGCTGTGGTCCAGCCCCATGTGGGGTCACATCTGCTGCTGTTTGGGGCTGTGTGTGACACGTGGCAGAGGCACCACATGGAGGTACACGTGGTGGCTGTCCCAGATAGCCAGGAGCAGCTGTGGGAATGGGAATGGCAAGTGGGCTGGGGGCATCCCAGAGCATCCCGTGGGGTTTGGGACTGGGCAGCCATGGGAACCCCAACAAAAGAAGCAGCGGATGGGGAAGGCAGCACAGGGGCAGGAGGCTGCAGCAGCAGCCGTGTTAGTGAGGAGCCTGTCTGCTTCTGTGTGCTCCATGAGAGGGCAGGATGAGCTGGTGGGGCAGGGCATGGCCGGTCCTGCAGGAATGGGGAAAGTGGGGTATCTCAGGAATGTGCAGAAGCAAAACCCCCGAGGGAAGGAGCTGAGGGTCTTCAGAGGTGTTGGTCAGCAGAGTCCATTGCCTAAAGAGCAATGACAGTCCAGCCCGAATGGTGTCAATCTCTGGCACAGCCTGGAGGAGCCGCGCTGTTCCGTCTTGATGTGTTTCCCTGCAAAGCACCGGCTCCAGAACCAAGGCTGAGCGCTCACCTTGATGGGGAGAAGCCCTTCCCTGCAGCACGGGGCTGAGCTCTGGGTGCTCCGCCCGCCCTCCTCGCTTCACTCCGTTCCATTGCGTGGTCTCCGGGGGGAGCTGTGCCTGGCACTGTGCTGCCCGTGCACCGTCAGCACGGAGCGCAGCGCTGCCCACTGCTGAGCGCAGCAGATACAGAGCGCTACCAGAGCAATGATGGCTGAAAGCACTGGGTGAGGATGGAGGGTTGGTGGGGGTCGCGGGGTGCTGTGTCCTAGGAGCAGGGTCGTGCTGGGAGCTCCGTGGGGGATTTTGCTGTTGGTTGGTGTGAGGAGACAGCACTGGAGCTTGCGATGGGCAGCTCCATCCCGCCATTCCCCGAAGCTGGGTTTGGCACGGGTACAGCTCTGGTTCCTCTGGACACTAGCGCTCCCCAAACCCCCCAGCATCGCTCCTGGTGCCTTTCCTCCCATCCCTCATCTTGCAGAAAAAGATGAAAGCGAAGCAGAGGAAATCAGCACCCAATTGGGGTCATGGCAGTGGATGAATCCTGCAGGAGCCGCTCAGGTGCTCCAGATCTGATTCCCCTCCTGCTGCCCTGGCTCCTGACGTCCATTTTTAAGGTTCTTGGTGTTTTGCTGCTGTGCCATACTCAGCTTGGGTTGCCTCCCACCCAATATTTTTATGGGATTTCTTCTTCCTGCCCATCCTTGCAGCTTTGCTTTTACCCCTTCCAGAAGCCACGTTTATTGGGCATTTTCTCCTGTTACAGTGACCTGCTGCTGATTCCTCCTCGGCTCTCCCCATGCCTGCCATTGTCTTCCTGGCTGGAGAGCGCACGGCGTGCTCGGGGACCCTCTCATTTATCTTTGGACACTTTCCATTTCCTCTCTGTGTGTTTTTCCTAATGCCTAATGGATGAGCAGCCAGAGCTGCTGCTGTGGGCTGCCTGCCATGCTGGGCAGCTCCCACCCAGGCTGCAGCTCAGCATTTCAGCTCAGGCCAGGCTGTGGGTCCCACCAGCAGTGTGACACCTCCATCCCTTTGCCATTTCCCTCCCGAATCCCTGTTGGGTTGTGCAGCAGAGCTGCCGGCAGGCACTGAGCGTGCAGAAAGCAGAGAGCTGTGCTGCGTTTCCCTCTGTTGCGTTTCAGATATGATCAGATCACCTCCCCTTTCCTTCATGGTGAGGTTCTGTAGCTGCTCATCCGGGTTCACATGACGGCGTTAATTGCGAGTGCAAATAAGCAATTACCTTGTCCCTCGGAGGCAAAGTGTGCAGCGTGCGTGGGAAGGATGTGCAGGTCTGTCTGTCTGTCTGTCTGCCAGACCTGTCCGTCCTGGCAGCCCGTGGGCACGGTGTGGCTTTTGGGGAGATGGAAGCAGCCTCTGGATTTCCTGAGAACAAAGAGAGCACTGCTTTATTGCCAGCAATGGGAACCAAGGCGGTGCGGCGCAGGAGGGCACCCAGCAGCCTGAGCAGGGAGAACGTGCACTGGGTTTGTGTGCACCCGAGGGCTCCCTCCTGAGCTGAGCTTTGCTGTGTGCCCACGGGGAACGGGAAAGGCAGGAGTGGGAACGGGAGCTGGCAATGGGAAGAGCAGGATGCAGGCGGGCGCTGCGGGGCAGGCACGGATTGCCATGCAGCACTCAGGGCGGTGAGAGGGCGAGGAGTTCACCTCTGTGGCTGCAAATCCCGCAAAGCTCGGCCCGAAGGCAGCACGGTGGCAATGCACGGGGCCGGGCTGTGCTGCGGCATGCGCTGCCGGGGGCCGGGCTCTGCTGGATGCTGATTCATGCTGCTGCATTTGCAAAGCCCCGCGGCCGCCGGCAGCTGATCCGGGGAGCTCTGATCCTGCAGCACAGAGCACTGCTGTCCCTTCCAAGGGCTTCCCCCCATCCCTGTGACCCCCGAGCCCAGGGACTGGAACCTTCTGCGTAGGGCATAGGGCTGCTCTGGCTCATTCTGGCTCGTTGGTGCCCTATGCTGGAATACAGGCAGGTGTGAACCCAGGAGAAAGGAGAGCGCTCTGAGCATTGGATGGAAGTTATCCTTGGGGGAGACAATCTGAGATCTCCAACACAAAAGGCTCCATCAGGCGTGGGCCTGCAGCGTTCCCTCCTCCCCTCTCACCCCACTTCTCTCCCAGCCCTGGCCCACAGCCCAGGCAGCACTCAGCAGTCCCAACCCATCGATTATCAGAGGGCCCATTGCTGGAGCTGCTCTGGGCTGGAGCTGCTGAGATCTGGGACAGATGCAGTTGGAATGTACCACGATGGGGGGGGGGAAAGGGGGGTGAAGGCATGCAGTGCCCAGCTGTTCCCAGCCTGCTGTGAATGCCATAGGGCAGCAGCAGCACTGCTCAGCGCCGTGGATGTGCAGAACTGATGCTCTCTGTAGTGATCCTCCTCTGCAGCAGTTCCCATCCCCACGTGGGCCCAGAGCTGCTGCCTGTTGGAGCTGCAGATCTCGGGATCTGCCCTATTTATTTTCAGGCAGACGGGATCTGTGCTTCTCATGGGATCAGCAGCTGCTGCTGCTGCCGCATCACACAGGGATCTGTGCTTCCTCACCTGATGTCACTGATGAATGGGCAATTCGGGTTTAATTAATGAAGTGTGGAGCAGGATGCAGTGAGGGGGCAGGAATGAGTGCTTCTGCCTTAGGAATGTACGTGCAGGTGTTGGTTGTGCTTTGCCTTATGAAGGGAGGAAAGACTCAACTCTGGGCACAGCACTGTGATGCTGCTGGGCCGTGGGATCACGGCGCAGTGCTATAAAGGCAACCCAAGGACTGAATCGACACCTCACACAGCTGATGGTGTGCTCTGTCCCAGCTGGATTTCCCCTTTTGATCTCCTCTCTCTGTTGCTTTTCCTCTGCAGTTCCCCTGTGCCCAGGACCCGCGGCACCACGGCCATGTCTCTGCCGGGGAGCAGACGCTCATCCACCGGATCACGAAGGTGAATACGCACAGGGAGCAGCAGCGGTGACCAGCCAGGGCCACAGCAGGGCAGGGAGCAGCCCAGGGATGCAGCTTTGAGGATTCGGGGCATTGCATGTCGCTGGATGCTGCCCACAGCTCCCCGACCCCGCATGGAGCACCCCCAGCACAGCACCCGTCCGTCTCTGTATGTGTCTGCCGCACTCGGCACCAATCTTGCAGTCCTGGGGTCCACTCCATGCTCCCAGGATCTGTTCCTTTGCCCCAGGATCCACTCTTGGTCCCGTCCACCAAAGGTGGTGTTGGTGGATGTCCCCTTTTGGCCCCCCCCCCTCCCCCCCCCCACAGTCCTAGGATTGGCAGCAATGCTGGGAGGGGAATTGGCTCTTGGAAGGGCTCTCTTGAGCTGTAGCAATAGCAAACAATAGGGAAAAAGAGAGGGAAGAAGCATTTATTCCCCTCTGAGTGTCTCCATACCCTGGGCTGCACTTTTTCACTTCCTGACCGCAGCCATCACCAGCACAGAAGGGGCAGATATGCCCATGTGTGAGTGCTGTCCACCCCAGCCCACTTCCAGGACTCTCTCCTAGGGGCTCCCAGTCCCTGGGCACGAGGATGCCATGCGGGTACCCACGGGATGGAGCGGGTGGGTTTGGGCTCCCCTACCCCCACCTTCACACCCGTCTCCGTGCCATTTTGATCCCTGCTGTTTGTTCTGTCCTTTTGTCTTGTGTGTTCTCGGTGCGGTGGTTGGCAGTCGCGGGCTTTATGGACGGAGTGGTTTTGCCTCCTTCTTTAAGTCGTCAGCGCCCTCAGCCACTCGGCCTGAGACACAGCCTCTTCTCCCTGCCTCCAGGCGCCCCTCGCCCCCCGGGAGGGACACCTACGGCACCTCCTCGCTGAGCAGCAGCAGCAATTCTGGCTCCTACAAGGGCAGCGACAGCAGCCCCACCCCAAGGTAACCCCTCGCCCGCAGCCCCATGGGCACTGTGCCCATCTGGGGGTTCCCCGGGCAGGGGGAGCAGTGCCGGCCCCGGTGCCCACAGTGCCCACGTGCCATGGGGCAGGAGCACAGGGGCTGCAGGAGGAGGCTGTGCTGCTGTGCTCGGAGCTGCCGGAGGGGCTGCTGAGCCCCCGCCATCCCCACAGCTCCTCTACTGCTGTCATTATGTCTTCTCCCCATTGTCACCCTCCTGCCAGCTCCGTGCTCATCCCTCCTGTCCTGCTCTGGCTGTGGCTTGTGCGCTGCATGCGTTCCTCCCTCTGCTCGCTGCTCCCCAGGAACGCTGCCTTTGGGGCAGAAGGTGCAGCAGGACTGTATCTGGGGCTGCTCACACATTGCTCTGGGCGGTGAGGCTCATCCCTTGGTTGGGACTGACCCCACCAACTGCGTTCCAGCTCTGGAGGTGGCTTTGCATCTGGGAGGAAATGAAGGGGTCAGCCAGCAAACAGAGCAGGGATGGGGTAGGATGACCACCATCCTACCTGGCTTCTCCCAACACATTGCTTCTCTCTGCTCAGAACTATGGATCTGCCTGCATGATGCCTGGCAGCTTTGAGCTGTGCCACGGCAGTGCATGGGGACTTTGCTCTGCTGCAATGCACCGGGGGTTCAGACCACCCCACTGTGATGTGCAGGGTCTTGGTGCAGCCTGCTGCAAGACACGAGCATCTGGAGCTGTGCACAGCTCTGTGCCTGCTCCCTAGCTGAGCATGCAGCCATAGAGCAGCAGCCTTTCTCCTCCCCATGCTTGCTGAGCTGCACCGGGCTGATGCCCAAAGACATCCATCAATCTCAGCTGTGCTGGTGGCAACACAGGGAGGGTCCAGAACTGCTGCTGCAGTCTGGGATGTGTGGGCAGCTCAGACCTGCTTCACCGTAGCCTATCCCACTGCACACCTCTGGTGGGACTGACCCCAGTTTGGGGCCTCCATGCTCATGGTACATTTGCTAAGAGGGCAATGTGTGTGTGACATCTCCGTGGGGAGCACAGCCCTGGGCCAGCAGCTGGGTGACAGCCGTGTCCCCACAGGCGCTCGGCCAAATACAACCTGTGCAGTGACAACCATGGCATCAAACCACCCACACCAGAGCAGTACCTGACCCCACTGCAGCAGAAGGAGGTTTGCATCCGGCACCTGAAGGCCCGCCTGAAGGACACGCAGGAGCGGCTGCAGGACAGGTAGGTGTGGGGTTGCGGGGCTCCTTGCAAGCACCTGGCTCTCTCTTTCTAATTTTCCTCCAATCTGAATTCACTGCCACAGCACAGAGCAGCTGGCAGGGCTGCAGAGCCTGGCGTGCTCACCGGGGCTGACTGTGCTCTTTCTTTCGTGGCTAGTTTTTCTCTCCCACGGTTTTTCTGAATGTCAGCATCACGCGGTGGCTGAGCTCCATCTGCTCCTCTGGGGGCTTAGGCACGTCCTCACCGCCCTGCCAGCTGCCAGCCAGCCACCATGGGCAGCCGGTGTCCCCGCACAGCCTTTAGAATCACAGTCATTGAGCTTGGAAAAGAGCTCCAAGATCCCCAAGCCCAACCCCACAGTGCCCACTGGCCGCGTCCCTCAGTGCCACATCTTCACGGATCTGGAGCACCATCCGGTGAGCCCACCATCCCCTGGGCAGCCTCTGCCACTGCATCACCACTCTTTCGGAGGAGAAATTTCTCCTACCACCCAACCTGACCATCCCCTGCAATATGAGGTCACCACCTCCCCCCCCCAAGGTAATCTCTGTTACCTGGGAGCAGAGGTGGACCCCACCTTGCTCCAACCTCCTTTCAGGAGCTGTAGGGAGCAATGAGTTCTTCCTAAGCCTCCTCTTCTTCCCTGTGATCATAGAGCCATCAAACCTGAAAAAGAACTCTAAGATCATCAGATCCAACGGCCAGCCCATCCCCACCATGCCTGCATAGAGTCATTCAGATTGGAAATGACCTCCAAGGTCATTGGGTCCAACCACCAACCCATCCCCACCATGCCCACCAAAATATGACCCTATGTGCCACATCTGCATTTGGGAGCTGGCTGGGCATCACTGCTGGGGTTCCTGGATACCTGGACACAGCCCTTACATCCCAAACATGTTTTTTTTTTTTCTGAGTGTTTTTACCCTAAATCACTGCTCTGAACCACCGTGGGAACCGCGGGGCATCCTGCTCCTGACCCGTGGTGACGCCGTGTGCCCGCCTGCATCTCATTGCAGGGACGCTGAGATCGAGGACCTGAAGACGCAGCTGTCGCGGATGCAGGAGGACTGGATCGAGGAGGAGTGCCACCGCGTGGAGGCCCAGCTGGCGCTGAAGGAGGCCCGCAAGGAGATCAAGCAGCTGAAGCAGGTGATCGACACGGTGAAGAACAACCTGCTGGAGAAGGACAAGGGGCTGCAGAAGTACTTCGTCGACATCAACATCCAGAACAAGAAGCTGGAGACGCTGCTGCACAGCATGGAGGTGGCACAGAACGGCGCGGGGCTGAAGGAGGAGGGGGCTGCTGAGTCGGCGGGGGGATCCCCGGCGAGATCCCTCACCCGCAGCTCCACCTACACCAAGCTGAGCGACCAGGCGGGCGGCGAGCGCACCGTGGGCGGATCGCAGACCATCTCGGTGGACGAAGGGGCCGACAGCGGCTTTGCTGGGGGGGACGAAGCTCCCGGCCGCCCGGACTTGTTAGAAGGGGGGGAGCCCTGCGGGCGGCTGCCGCCCAGCTCCACCTACGAGAAGCTGCTGGGGCTGCGGGGCGGCGTAGAGGCGGGCGTGCAGGCCAGCTGCATGCAGGAGCGCGCCATCCAGACGGACTTTGCGCACTGCCAGCCCGACCTGGACACCCTCCTGGAGAAGGTGATGAAATCCCAAGCGTGCAGCTTGGGCAGCCCCACCTCGGTTTGGGTGTCCGAGATGGAAGACGTGGCGCCGGGCTGCGAGATGCCGAACCCCGCCGGCGTTATGGACCTGGAGCCCGAGGACGGGGAGGTGCCCCACAACCCCACCGTGCAGCAGCCCCCCAGCGCCGGCCCTTCGGTGGCCATCGCCTGCGCTCCCGAGGAGGATGCGACAGCGGAGCCGGGCTGCGACGGCGCTCCATCCAAGAGCTATTGGAGCCGCCACTTCATCGTGGATCTGCTGGCCGTGGTGGTGCCGGCTGTGCCCACGGTGGCGTGGTTGTGCCGCTCGCAGCGCCGCCAGGGCCAACCCATCTACAACATCAGCTCGCTGCTGCGCGGCTGCTGCACCGTGGCCCTGCACTCCATCCGCAGGATGGGCTGCCGCGCCGTCAGCAGCCCCAACCCCGGGGGCGGAGCGCAACCCTGACCCCCCGCAGCCCCGTCCCGCCCCCCAGCCCACCCCACGGAGCCGACGGCTGATTGTAGAGCCCCGCGCTGGGGGACGTGGCGCTCCGTCTGCTCTGCTCCTCGTAAAGCCCCTCGGGGTGGGGGCAGAAGGGGCACGGGGTGGGCGTGCTGCCCTGAGCCTTTGTCCCCAAGGATGCCGAGGGCTCGACGCGGTGATACGAGGGATGGCCAGGCCCCGTCCCTGCAAGCAGCTCTGGGGTGCTGGGGATGTCATCCCGCGGTGTCACCGCGTGGCACTTTGCTTTCTTTTCGGTTGTCCTCGCACGGACCCGGGGACGTCGCAGCAGTGGGAGAGAGCGAGGAGGCCCCGAGCACCGGGGTGGGGGCTGCGATGGGGTGCAGCCCGGCCCCCTCCCCAGGCAGACTCCTTGCTCTGGGTGCAGCATTGCACAATGGGACGTGGAGGAGGACGGAGGGAACCCCCTGGACATGGAGGGTGGAAATGGGATGGAATTGGATATACCTCACACCCGAGCAAGGCTGAGCCGCCCGCAGCGCCGTCCATTCCGTTCATTCATTTGCTTTGCACTATATTCACTTTCATTTCCTTTCGGTAAAGTTGGGGCCCTGGAACCGGGTCTGGCTGCTGTGGAGTGGGACCGGGCACCCTCTTGGTTTGGGTGCATCCTTGTCCACCCCTCCCCACCCAAACCCTATTTTCCCAGGAGGGGTTGGGGGGGGGAAACTACTGCAAAATGCCTTTTTT